TCACTATGTGGGAAGATTTGCATAACGCCGCCCAAATGTTCATGCAAAGAAAGAAGGCGTAACTTTTATTCTGTATGTAGTATTGTTGTTGCCGCCGCCGCCGTCGCCATGTCGTGAAGGTGCTGCTGAAAGCGAAACTACTTTGTTTGGCCTTCCAAAAGAGTACGATATCCGCTTCGTTATGCCTGGAGCTGATCCGTGCTGGTCGCTAATTAAATACATCGACTTCTCGCTGTGGATCGCCGGATCGGCTTTCACCGTGGCTTTTGGAAAATAATGTTTTTTTTTTTTACCTTAAACCACATAAGCACATTTCATTACACCAAATAATGTTATTTTTTAGCAACATCATATGACCCCTTTAAAATAAAACATATAAGTATATTAATCTATACATTACTGTTCATGGACTTTGCTTTAGACTAGATATACGCAAGACTATATGGTCTGTTTCACCCAAGAAAACTGTCTAGGAGAAACATTTGAGGTATTATAGAAGTTGTGATTTTCCATCCCTATGGGAAAATCTCAAAAACCAGAAGTAGGATTTTTGTTTAAACACAATTTAAGCTGTGCGGACTGTCAGAAAACCACACACTTTGGTTCAATCTGTTGCACAGCTGAGAATACCTCACTAAAAAGACCAATGAAAATTTCCAACTTGCACTTCATGTCAGTTTTTGAGAAATAATGAGCGTGTTCACTCAAAACAGACTTCCAGAGAGGAAAGACTCTTGTGCTCCTTCAAAAAAGCATTTGTCTCTGATTTTCAGAGCAGAACTCCTTCAGAGAGATTTTAGTGAAGTTACACAGTCAACTCTGCAAGACTGTAAGGGCTTGATGTAACTTAATTGCATTCTTTTTTTCCCTCCAACAGCAAACTGAAATTCAGGGTAAGACCCAACTCAAACACCTCATAATCCTTGCTGTTTGCCTCCTGCAAATGAAACAAGGTCACTTTCATTTCGACTCAAAGGGCCCAATATAGCAGCAGCTGTACTGCCAAACGTACCTGCTCTCACATATTTACAACAATGGTGCTGCATCAACAGACACCCTGACTGACTTATTGAACTCCACTGCAGGCAATATCGCTGAAGGATGAAGGCAGGACAGACAAACAGAGCTCTCTCACTGTCATTCTGTCCTTGCACTTATAGAAACAATGTCTTGAACCAAAACCAGTCGAGAGCCACTGCCCAACATGGGTCAATATATGATGCATATATTACACAGCTTGTGTGAGACTGCGGTGTAGATATGTGTATCAAACCACAAGTGGCTTACCTGCGACACTGAGTCTAGCTGTACGGCTTATGATGGTGCCCAGGTTGTCTATAGTGGCCACGCACTGGTAAACCCCCTCATCGGGTTTATTGTGTTTAGAGTGGACCACTGAGCTGATGAGCAGAGAACCGTCGGCCAGGACCTGCCTGCGATCGTCTGAGGCCAGGCTGAGGAAAGAGCCATCTTTCTTCCATTCGATCTTGGCAGGAAACTCACTGTGGATTGAGCAGTTGAGCAGCGTCGGCGCTCCCCGCACTGCCAGCGTATCTGACGGCTCCATGGAGAACTGGAATGGGCTGAAGTTCCTCACTGCTGATCCTATGAAGAAAGAGGATAAAATCAGCACTGGATTTCTCATCATAAATAATATGATGAACTGAAATTAGGTTGAACTTTGGGTTGAGGGATTTAATAACAGAAGGTATTTGCATCATCGCAATAAAATTCAGAGTCTAGCTGTACGGCTTATGATGGTGCCCAGGTTGTCTATAGTGGCCACGCACTGGTAAACCCCCTCATCGGGTTTATTGTGTTTAGAGTGGACCACTGAGCTGATGAGCAGAGAACCGTCGGCCAGGACCTGCCTGCGATCGTCTGAGGCCAGGCTGAGGAAAGAGCCATCTTTCTTCCATTCGATCTTGGCAGGAAACTCACTGTGGATTGAGCAGTTGAGCAGCGTCGGCGCTCCCCGCACTGCCAGCGTATCTGACGGCTCCATGGAGAACTGGAATGGGCTGAAGTTCCTCACTGCTGATCCTATGAAGAAAGAGGATAAAATCAGCACTGGATTTCTCATCATAAATAATATGAACTGAAATTAGGTTGAACTTTGGGTTGAGGGATTTAATAACAGAAGGTATTTGCATCATCGCAATAAAATTCAATTACGTTTGTGTGAATGAACATGAGCTGTGGCTTTAGATTCCAATTATTTAATATATATCAACATTTGTTCATCTCAATATTTATTTTATTCTTGCATTTGAGAGTCAAACACATCCATTAAAATGTCAAAACTTTACTACTAGTGTCTGAAAATGACCAAACATTGAGGTAACACCGAGAGTATAACACCGAGCAAATGCATTATAAATCATTTTAATTATAAATGTAAAATTACAAACAGAGCCCTTGGATATCAGGACACATTTGAATATCTTGTTATGTTGCTCTCTCAAAAGGAAATGCCGGTTAGAACTGACAAGTCCAATGCAAAAAAGTCAAACTAAGAGCAATTACTTTGCATTTGTCCTCATAAATTATTCAAATCTTGTCCTCGAGAGTCATCAGGACTTTGTGTGGATAAATAATTTGATTCATCAGTACTTCTTGGAGAGGAAATGAATAATGAGCTTTTTAAGGTTTTTTTAAATACTGCACCAAGTGATGAGTCAAATGCTAAATCTAGCTGGAAGCAGTTGAGACTGGTTTATGGCGAGTCTACAAAGAGATGGCATGACTGGGGCCAGCACAAGAACCAAAAGTCATCATTCTGCCGCTTTAAATCAAGAGTTAATGTCTGGGATCACCGCTAATGAGGACGCACTTCTCCCCTCTTAAACTCAATACTGAAGCTGTGTTGGAATCACATACTGACAGAGTACACACTGCATTTGATAAAGCCTGGATTTGCTTGATATAGCACAGCTGGCACACTGATTTCAGATGCTTTCAGGGAGATTGTTTTGTTTCCGAGAATGCTGCAAAATCATTGATTTTCACTAAGGAAAGTGACACTCCATCACTATAACCAAAAGTTGAGAAATGTAACTACAGTTCATCTTGACATATACATCAATTGCCCAATGAGAGTCCTAGAGAGGTAGGTCCAATGGTGCCAGCCAAATCCACTTTTCTGTTTTCCAGCTTGATTTTAAACCAGTTTGGCTACTTAAAATTACAAGCAGGGTTGGAACTAAAGTCTACAGGAAGAAAGTCCTCCAGGAGGAGGGTTGGCTTCCCCAATGAAGTGTCTAGTGTGTAGACGAGTTCCAAGATGTGCCATAATGTAACCCCAATATGAGTTGCATTCTCAGCATTGCCACTATAGCATCCATTAGCATAAGCTGCCCTCTCTGTGGTAAGGGCGAATTCCAGTTGTAAGTAAGCATCCCTATTCCCTACTCACTCTGAAGGACATTGAAGTGGGGACTTTTGAGGGAGCAAGGCAATTGTGTCTCATAATATGGCTGTTAGGAACAACCGTTTGGAATGACCTTCGGTAACGACCATGAGGGAGGGAACTCTGTGAGGTAGTTATGTTGCTTACTTTCACTTGAAACGACCCTTCGTGTGGAGTCCCCTTCATAAAGTGCCCTTCAAGGGTGCAAAAACATTGTTTGGAATTTGCCCTACAGTGTCTATTTGAGGACACCAACTGTCATGGAGAAGCAACAGTTCATCTTGCTGAGCAAGTGAAAGTTAGTTGAACTGTTTACAGCTGCCTACCTGAATAATCCATGTGTTATGTTGTGCCATATCGAATGCTGTTTCCGTGTCCAAGCCTCTACTCACTTTCAAGTGAGAATACTATCTCAACAGCTATTCATGAACACTTTTAATTTATAGTGCACCTTTAAATACACCGCAGTCCCTGGGCTCACTATCAAGGACAGAATATTTTAACAATTCAGAAAAGCAGAATCTCTGTCTGGCAAACTAATAGTTCAGTATGGAGATAAAAGTTAGGCTCATGATTTTTTAGGAGTCCTACAGCACAATGTGAGTGTATATCAACAACTTTTGGTGTTTGCTTTTGGAAGCATTTGGACCCAGAAACAGTGACACATGATGTCAGACTTAACAACTGGATAACTTATTTGGTTTAATGGCACATACATTTGAATATACCATTACTGTGGAACATTCATAAGCATTAATGCTGCATACGTAGATTAGCCATTAGCTACCACAAGCTTCACTATGGGCCATTCACATATTGGAGGCATATTTCCTATCCCAAATGGTTTTAAAGTCTCTTGTAATGGAGTTAGGGAGTGTTGGTCAGATAGGAAGTATCGGGGTTTGTGGGTAGTGATTGTGGTCAACCCTCTGTCCAGTAAGAAAGGCCTCCTGGAACCAAACACTTATTTTCATATGCTGACTCGCATTTGGACTTCTATAGAAACAACACAGAGAGCTTTAAAACAGCTGCTTTTGTTGGCTGAACTGTTCTCCTGCTATATAAGATAACGGTGCTCTGGCAAATGTTAAGCTTTCCTCGAATAGTTTCCTTAAGGCTGATGCGAGGCAACAGTTGTTCCAGCATAAACACATCTGGATTAGATTAATTCCTGTAAGATAGATGCACTTTCTGTTCACAAACATCATTTGCACTTCGTAGTCTAGAGGTAACTGTTATAAAGCTTTCAACAAAGAATTTACAAAATTTTCAATATACTCTGGTTCTTCAGGTATGATTTTCTTTGCTCTGTACATTATAATGTTTTAATTTCACTAGCATCATGTGATTTCACTCATTGTTTACAGTAAAAAAACTGAGCATTATTAGATTTATAATATTGGCAGTAATATTGGATATTGGTCATACATTTTCTGTCTATCAACCATCAAATTGTCTAAATCAGTGCATCCTAGCCTTATCCAGTTTATTTGAATTTGTTACTACAAGGAATTTCCACAAACATACAAATATCAGTGGCTTTTGTAATGAGTTTCTCATTCGGTTTGCAAATATTTATGCTCAGGATTTAAAGGGGTCATATGATGCTATTTTAAAGATCATTATTTTGTGTATTTGGTGTAACAGAATATGTTGACATGCTTTAATGTTCAATAAACACATTATTTTTCAAATACTGTACATTATTGTAGGTCCTCTATGCCCCGCCTCTCTCAAACGCTTCGTTTTCTACAAAGCCCCCTCCTTTGACAAGCGCAGTCTGCTCTGATTGGCCAGCTGACCCAGTGCATTGTGATTGGCCGAACACTGCAAGCTAGCGTGTTAGAACGAGCCGTTTTAGGTAGGTGTGGCTGACTCTTAACTTTTATAAAGAATATCTCTTTAGATTTGAGACTTTAGTCTTTGCAACTTTACAGATCTTCTTTATGCACCAAGAGCTTGTAACACTCCAAAGAGAAAGGAAAACTTGAAATTGCATCATATGACCCCTTTAAAGCCGGCACTATATTTATCATTTAATGGGCTCAAAACACAGAGGAAAGAGTGCAGCATAGACCAATTACACAATCTCTTTAGAGTCACTTGAAATTCAGATTAGATATGAGGACTCTGTGGCTGTGAATGATTTTAAATACTAAGCAGGTCAGAAGAATATTGGATTTTCACAGGAATACAGTGGTCCACAGAACAACCTTGACCGTCCCTGCTGAAAAATAAGGAATATTTCTAAAATAGGGCCCACTAATTTAACTGCCTCAATGATTTTGAACTTGTCAAGCCCAGATAGATATGGCACATAAAAAAAGGAATGGATAAGCAAATAAATGCAGATGTACTAAAGAATAACACATTGCTAGCATGGTATTTGTCCAAAATACATATTTGTATGATCATATGTTTTTGTCATTTACTAAATAGAGCGATCTTTGGTGTCAGGAAGCAGACAGAAGTCTAATCTATTCTACTTTTCAGTTCACTGCTCAGGAATTGACTTCAAAACGTGTTCTGCAGTCCACAGTGAAGGTAACCAAGAGAAAATGAGGCTGTCTGTTTGATAAGTATGAGCTGTTAAATCCTGTCCCTAGTCCTGTGAAATCCATTTTATTCCACATCCAAAGAGCACTTCAGAGCCACAGCAGCTCTTGTCAGTAGAAAATTCTGAAGGCAGATATGGAAGAAAAAAAGGTTCGTCTTGTGTGTCATCCAAAGTCTTTCACCTCTAAAAGTCTGTCAGACCATTGAGGGTAGATGGGTAAGATAGCTTTAGAGAGTTCTTTATATAATCAGCAAGTATAACTGCGGCAAAAATATATATTGGGATGAATTACCATAATTAGTATTTGGAAGAAATGCACTAATTGTCCTGAAAATTGGGTTTCTTTCTAAATGCAAAATAAAATTGTAGATTTTTTTTTTATTGATTTTTGGATGAAAAGTGACCTGGACATGTATTACATAAATTTCAACCAGTTATGTTGAATATTGACTAAAGTTTTACCCTCTGGTACAGAGTTGGCTTGTATCAAGTATCCTTTTGGGTTTATTGACCCATTTAAATGAGTCATGTTTTATTGTTTGGCTTAAGAGGTCTATTTAAACGCTGACCTCCTCTCAAATCTAGGAAGGATAGACTACAGTGATAATAGCTGGGTGGGAAGATGAGCCATTTTTAAAGGTCACTGTCACCACAGAATAAAGGAATGAACAGAGAATGTATTGTCTTCAACACTCACTTCCTTTTTGTGTTTCACAGATGCCCACTTCATCTTTCACAGCGGCTACTAGGAACAAAGGCTGCTCTCCCACTCAGGACCCCTGGCCAACGATGGCCCCTCACCCCACGGTCTGGATGTTCCGATAGTGCCTTTGCCCTCTCAACACGGGTCCAAGGTGTAACAGCTGTACAAAATGATTGGTAGGCCTCCATGCCGGCTTTATTATTTTGGCACACGCTCAACTGGCAGAACAGAGGCGAAAGGATACAATTTTCACAACTCAAAGCACCTCAAGCTACCCTTCTTTCTCCTGCCAGGGAGCATTTCCAAGGCGTAAAAAATCCTGAGCACAAGCTTACGCCAATTCTGTCCCCCTGCAACCGTATTTAGCAGAATTA